CCAGTTTTGCTCAATAAAGACAGATTCCATTTTTGAACACAATTGTCCTTTATTTTGTACATCAAGAAGAGGGGCTAGAGAAGGGTAAGTGGAAGGAGGTGAGGGAGGAATGGGGTACGCGCCCCCGATGGGGAGGACTGGGCTGGCTCTGCGGGCTTCTGGGGGTGGAAGCTCTCCTGCAGCCCCCCCAATTGCCCCTTCTCCCCAGATGGCAGCCTGCGGCAAGTGCAGCCGGGCTGATGGCCGAGTGCTATGATGTGCCCAGTGTGGGTACTCCGGGCACTCCAAGCCAGGACTGGTTTGCAAGCGGGGGACCCTGAGAACTGTCTGTCCGGGGTGAGGGTCGGAACCCTTTAAGCGCAGCCCTCGGCTAGCCTGAGACAGCATCTCCACGCTCTGAGTCCTCCTCTGATGCCCTGCCGGCCCTGCTTCCGGCCATCCTTAAGCCTGGTTCAGGGTCCACTTAATGTGGGCGCGCTAGTTCAAATTAGCAAATCGCTAATTCGAACTAGTTTTTAGTTCTAGATGCACTAGTTCGAATTAATGTTGTAGTGTAGATGTACCCTCTGACTGCTTTACTTATGATTGGAATTGGAATTCTACATTATTTGGCTGACAATGCTCCTGAAGTGGTCCACCAAGCTGATTTTAAAACAACTTTGGCGTCCAGACTCTGGACTTTTAGTGGGGGAGGGAGTATATTGTATTCATTACACTGAAATGTGAAGTAGCAACAAGTTAGTATCACAGTGGAATTTTGTTTTCTTCCTAAGGCAACATAAGAGTTAATACAGTTAGTATTATATATATATAGTGTAAATATATAGTGGTATTTATAGTGTTAATATATAGTGGTATTTACAAGTTGTTGGGTAATTTAGAGAATTACTGCTATACTCTGTCAGCTCCAGGCACTCCTCTTCCTCTATAGTATAATGACTTTAAAATAAGGTACACAAAGTTGTCATCTCTCTGCATCTTTACACTGGAAAACCAAACAAAAGGAAATGAATGAATAACCAAAGTTTTGCCACCTTCAGGCCTTTAACCAGGGTTCAGCTCCATGATGCTATTTCACCATTGAATCCACTTCCAATCACTAGCTCCAATCTCAGAATAGAAACACATAATGCAAATTGATGAGAGAGTCTCTTAGCTTTGTCAATCATGTTTTTAGTGTGTCTGTGAGCAAATAACGCTCATGAAAGGTCCCATACTAAAGATCCTGGAGCCTGGATTCTCTCCATCAGTGTTCACTTTGTCTCTTTAATTCTGCACCATGCAAAATGGGCACTCAATAGCGCAGAGTTCCTGCAGAGCCTTTGCCTCAGTTCCTGTGAAACCCATTTTAATGTCAGAATGGGACAAAAATGTTGAGGCATCTTTGAACATAACCTGAATACTTAAGTGGGAAATATTAACATTTTAATGTATTTATTGGGTGGAATTTAATTTATATTTCACAGAGATGTTAAGCAAATGCTAATTTATTACTAACATCTTTTGGCCATTACCTGCTCCTCTCAAAATCAATGGCAACAATATCCCTATGACAGCAGTGGAACAGAATCACACCCCTCTAATAGTTAGAACCGAATCCTGCAAGGTGCTACTAAATGTTTTTGTCAAGGGCAAGGTGAAGGAAAAGGGAAAAGGGTCTTTCTCCATTGAATAACTGTAACCTGCATAAGTACTGGGTAGAATTACAATCCCTGAAGCCAGGGCAGCCCACAGGGACAGGGAGGAGTGGAGTTACACCTCCTCACATCTGTTCATCAGTGCCAAGGTAGCTGTAAATGTAACCCACATTTTTGGGCATAGCGTATTTTCCCATCTAGTGTCACTGAGACTACACTGCTTTCAGACAGAATAATGAGTCAGCTCTACAGTCTTAGCTGAGAGCCAGCTAGCTTTTAGCTCTTGTGGTAGAAGTACATGCACTAAGCTCCAGAGGTTTCAGGTTTGGTTTTGCTGGTTGGTGTTACATACACACAGAGAAATCCCAGAAGAGAAGTTTGCCTCTGAAGGAGAAATGGCTCCTGATGGACTGGAATGGATCTGCATCAGTCCAATGGCAAAGCAGTTTCTTCGAGATCCAGACTAGGCCTTGGTAATGAGGTAGCCCTGCGTTTTAATGATCAATTGCTTTTCATTTGTCATACAAAGCTATTCTGTTAATACTTATCAAAAATTGATACAGATATGTGAGCTACACACTTATAATCCATTTAATAGGATACAGTTTTAATAATCAAAAGCTGTTAACATATACTGATACGTACAATCAAAATTAAAGGCTTGCTTGAGCTATTTTAAGATATCAAAATATTGCTGGAGACAATTTATGATGGAAGACAGACATCTGGGATATTCCTACCTGCAGCCTATTCTGCTGTATCCCCTGTCTTGGCCCTCTTTAGCCCTTATCCAGAGTGCTGGAACTAAGGGTACGTTTACACAGCAACACTATATTGGGATAACATCTGTTATCCCATAATCGTGTTCTGCACATGTTAACAGCATGCCTGTTATTCCAAAATGCATTCAAAATAATGGGTGTCTTATTCCAGCTTCCTGTAAACCTTGTTGCACGAGGAGTAAGGAAGACAAAAGAATTGTGATTCATTTTGAAATTAGCACAGTGGAGACAGTGCCAAATTTCAAAATAGCTATTTTTAAATAAGCTACGCAATTTGCGTAGCTCAAATTGTGTAGCTTTTTTTGAGGAATGCGCTACTGTGTAGATGTACCCTAAGAGTGCGTGGGGGCTGGGGAGGGGCAGGACAGTGCTGCAGAACTCCCTGGCTTGAAGTGGTTTCCATTGGGGTTTCTAGTTTGATAACACAGCTATCAGTACTTCCACTATAAAAAGTGTTCTAGCACCCCCAGCCCTTTTCTCTTTATGTGAATGTGCTTACAATGTGTTATAGATTCTTCTTCCTGCCCTTACTGTGTTTTTATTAAAACACATTTTGTGTTTTGAAATTCCTGTACAATGCATGAAAAGAAGCAAATCATCACACTAAGAACATGACTTGAGGATTTGCTGTTATTTCATTTTTTTAAATTCTTATGTTTTAAAAATAATTTTAAGGTGCTGATTGTTATCATCTGAAGTTTCTTGGTCCAAGTTTCCTCTAGGAATGAAATCCTGGCTCCTGAGAAGACAATGGGAATTGTACTATTGGCTTAAATAGGGCCAGAATGTCACCCTAAGAGTGTTATATTTTGCAAACCTTAATGTTAGCACTGAAGTTACATAGGTGAAAACCTACAGGACTCTCCTCTTATATGCAAGAATTGTTTTAAAAAAATGCTTTGATCTTTGGGATTTGTGCTAGCGTTTTAAGTTACTGGATAACTAAAATAAATTTACATTGGACCTTTGAACTCACAGAGCCCCTAAGAATGTATTCAGGGCTTCTTCACATTGCCTGCCTTCACAAAAGTATGCAAAGGAAAGTTACAGAAACAGTTTTGCATCTGAATTATTAATGGACAGGAAGAGTCTGCATTATCCCTGCACATTATTTGTGCCAGAAGCACAAATAATCCCATCAGGGGAGGGTACATCACAAATCAGAGGAGTGCACTGGAATGTTAAATACAATAATGACTCAGCATAACCATGTTTCTGGAGAGGAAAAGAGTGGTGAAGACACAGGGCTGATAACATAGAAATGAAGGGATGCCTTGGCCACATACTACATCCTATTGCATTTAAAACACCATTGCAGACATTCTTTTATATGTAAAATTAGTACAATTTTAATGTATTTTTATTAAGAGTTGTGCTGAAATCTGAGAATGAAATCCTGGCTCCCAAAAAGACAATGGGAATTTTACTATTGGCTTTGATGGGAACAGAATTTTACCCTAAAAGAGTATTATGTTTTGCAAGCCTTAAATTTCTGTTTCCTTATTTTTAAATCTAGCAAACAATTACAGGAGCATCTTAGGTTTTTGGTTTTTTTTTAAGAATTTCTTATTGTAGGGTCGAATGGGGCAGGTTCAGCATTTCATGTACTTTTTTACCAAAAAAAAAAAAAAAAAAAAAAGGCTTGAAGAGAAGCTATGCTTTATTAAAGAAATCCTAGGGAACACCTAGGAGTTAAATGTTCAATCAAATATACTAGTTTTCAAACAAAACCATGCATACAAGTTTTGTGGAAAGAGCTCTAAATACTGGTGTTCATTGCCACAAATAATTTGCTATTCTGCTTTGAATACTGCTGTTCATTGGCACAAATAATTTGCTTTGGATTAAAAAAAATTGTCATAGCAGGGGCTGTTCAATAACTCTAATTTGGCCATTAAATTTTTGCCACCTTTGCCCTTTCTTAATGATTGTGACAAAATGCTGTCTGCAATCAGCAAGACTCAATCGTTGTGGGAATAATTTGAATAAATAATCAAGTCTTTGGCTCATCCATCACCTTGACTGATTTCTCTATTCCCTGTTCACCTCTTCATGACATTTGGCAGGTCACTTGATATAAAATATGCAAACAGCAATCTGAAATAGCCCAAATCTGCTGAAATAAGCAGTCTGAACCTGTCTTCTTAAAGCAGCTATGAATCTTTTGTATAGCGAGCAGAAATATTTGCTTAAGAATTTCCTCTCATGAGCTTAATGTTGTTTTAGACTTGATTCTTGCTATATTTTTTCCAGACCTGTATAACATTAATAGAGCTTGCTAAATGCAAAGCAACATTGTCTGAACCATAATATAAAGGACATTGTCTCTTAAATCTTCCACTTCAGTATCTGGGAAGGAAGCTTCCAATAAGAAAATGGACAAGGGATTGAGAGGGAGAAGAAAGGGAAAATCAAGAAAATAAAAGAGTTAAAAAGAGAAATTGGGGAAAATCAAGTAAAAATGAGAGAGAGGTAAGAAAAAGAAGAAATATGGTCTTAATTAAAGATGGGAGAGTCCTATTGTCATTGAGTCCTTTTCTTTAAAAAGGCAAATGTATAGACCAAAGTGGGCAATAAAATGGTAATATTTCTCCAGGGTTAGCTTCTGGTGGGCAGCCCTCACTATATTTATCTGTGCTTCCACAGGTACAGACAGATCATTGCTTCCATCCAACAGGAGCTGCAGGAAGCAGTCTGGACTGGGAAACCACTTCCAGTAGCTCCCATTGGCCAGGAACTGCAATCCATGGCCAACAGGAACTGCACTGCCTGTACTTGCAGAAGCATTGGTATTTGCCCACCACTGATATAATAAATAATGAAAGAATTCTACCTTACTAAAAACAGCACTGTGATTAACTTCAGTCTTGTCTATATGCAGGTTGTACACTGATTTAAATAAATTGGTTTAGAAACTTGTTTACTTAAATTGGAGCACCCCTGAATTTAAGAAGGTCGAAAACGAAGTTAGATTAAATATTTTAAATTTATTTAATCTAAACTACCATACCCCATTCTTAAACTGACTTAAAAGCATCCATACATGATTGTGGTGATTTAATATCACACCTATAGTTAAACTCATGTAGCTGCCCATGGACTGGATCTTTGTCTCTTCAACCGTCCTCTTGCTTTCTCATCTTCTTACCATTCGACTGTCTTTTCTTTCCATCTTTCATCTCACCTTATTCCATGTCATTCTTCAGCACTATTCCCCTTTATTTGCAAAAGAGAAACATGGTTTTACCATCAGGCTGGAAGTTTTATATTCTAAACCTCTTAGGGTTTAATCTTGCTCTTTTTGACTGAGAACAAGTCTATTCCATGCATACTGCCTTTGTAAAATATGAGTAATAATACATCACCTGAGTATTAGGACTTATTATTTGCTGTTTGCAAAATACCTTGAAGATTAAAAATGTTAAATATAATTATTTTACTTACCACAAAGTTCTGGCTCTCTTTCCATTGAAGTCACCCAGGTTAGGTTTTCACATATAACCAAATTGATTCTTGAGCATATATAAACATTGTAAAGAATTTGGTAAGCCCAACAAATAGTTTAATAGTAACATTATTTATTTATCTGGCTTTTGTAATGATGGATAACAAATTGCAAACTCCTATTATAACAAAAAGATACTAATACATAAAACAGGGGCATTATTTAGTAATTTTGTACAATCAGGTAGAATTCAGCATAACATGATTGAAAGGATACATGCTTTTTAGTCCCCAAAGGCCTTCTCTCCAGGTGTTTCACTATGCAGAGTAATAAAATCATGATAATACAAAAGAAATAAAGTTCTGCTTGTTTAGGGAAAG